ATGATGCATGCTACATCAAAGACATTTTACGGAAATATGTGCGGGTAACAATAAAAGTTAAATTGAACTTGCTGCTTGGTGTTTTGGGAAATACACTTATGCTCTTTCATGCCAGGAGTTAGGTGAGAAGATTAACACCACCTTCATGTCTTAAGTATGAAGCAGCGAAGAAAAACAGCTACTACCACCTGTAAAGCTCACAATATGTTAGGGCTTTTTATATTTCTGTTTTTGTACAGGTTAAACAAACATATAACATGCTAATTAATGAGCATTCAGACCGACTTTAAGCTAATCAACTCCTGACTCCAGTGCCATATTTACCATACCGACGTGAGAGTGGTATTCTCGTCTAATCCTTGGCAAGAAGGTGAATCGGTACATTGCCCAAAACGTTGAACTATTCCTTTAATTAGGCCTCTAAGCCAATTAACAGTACATTTTGTTAGCTTACATGTTACACTACTAATACAGAGTATTTAATGACCGGACTCATGGGGAAACTTTATTCCTATTAAATCAGGAGGAGTTTTCTGTTAAATGTTATTTGTAAATGATACACGAGATGAATGATGAAAAAAAAGAAAAGAAATTATGACACTATTATGACACTCAACAATACTAAAAACACAAAAAGTTTTAAATAGTATTTTGTTTTTTGGGTTTTTTTTTTTTTTTTTTTAGAGAAAACATTGCCATAAAATCAAATTTAATTGGATTCATTAATAAAGAAAAAACTGGTCAGCAGTGGGAGGATTAATTTCTTTTTCAAGCCACTGAACATGATGGCAGAAGACAACACACTAACAATCTCATGATGCTAAACATTTGTAGTCATTGACATTAGAAAAAAAAAAAAAGTTTTCTATCCAAAATACAAACTAAGTTGAAATTCAACAAGAGAGAGAGAGAGGAGAGCAGGAGTGTGGCGAGAAACAGAAAGCTCCCGAGGCGTCACACAGTCTGCACAAGAACACTTCTCTGAAATGTTAAACTTCAGTTATTCGCTGAGGCATCCTCTTGTTTCAACACCTAAAAACCATCTGCTCTTAATTAAAAACAGGTTTCCACCTTTCAAGAAGCTGCTAATTCTTTGTCTCACTGCGGTTGCTGTTTACGAATCTCAGCTAAAATACCCGCATGTGCTGCTTTAGGCTTCTTTCAAATCCACCTCTGTATATATTCCAGTGCTTGAACAAAGGCTCTACAACCTGTCAGCTCTTGTGTTTTTCCATCGGCGTCACACCGCCGGTTTGTCTGTGAAATGCACTTGACTCTGAAGCAGCAAGCCTTCCTTTCTGTCACTCTTACAGGCTGATCAGACAGGCTGAGACATCAGTTTTTCCTGTTTTTCCCCTCATTGCTTCTGAAATATATTCTTCAGTCTTTACAGAGGATTTTTGAACACAGACACTTGTACCCAGGACAAGCAGATACACCTCCACCCCTCCCACCCCCAAATCAACAAGAAACTACTCTGTATTTGCTGAAATATGACGCATTTCCTATTCTGTTCTATTCTATTCTGTTCCTTCGTGACTAGATTGTAGTTTTAAGGTCTATTTCCAGTGGCCCCTAAAGTTCAACACAGTGCAACTTAAAGATTTCTGACAACGTATAGCTCTGTTAAGCAGTATTTTTACGAGTGGGTCTCCATTTTGTTTTTTTCTCTCATGCAAACACACAAGGACGCAAAGGCTTGCACACAAGCTCACAGGACAAGCGATACCTATTCCTGTAGCTGCTTCACCGCTATTCAGCCACACAACATTTGATTTCAAAAAAATGCAACAACAAAGGCTATAAGGAAAAATACTGCTAACAAATATACAGACTTAAAATGTTATGTAATGCAGTGTGTTATGAGGAGGGAAATGCATTCAACACATTTGTTTAAAAAGCAAGGGTACACACAATGTGCAGCATTTAGAAAGAAATGCTTCTGTCCCTAAATTACCTTATCAAGCCGTGCAAACGTCCACCCTTTCTGAAGTAGAAAAACAAAAAGCAAAACTTACAGGCTGCATGTCAGTAAATCACCTGTGGGACTTCTCAGTGCTGGGTCTTAAGACTTTTCCTCCTCTCTTCTAGACGGATGTGTGGAGCAGAGTCGGCAGGACATCCAGAGCTCTCTCACCTTTTGCAATTTTAACAATTTAAGCAGAAAACATATTGTTGCATCAACATTCAAATAGTATGTTATTTATGACAATTGATATTTCTGAAGCAGTATTTGTGACTATTCTGCCCTGGTGCTGATTGGTACCTACAGTATACCTGTGTTGATTGCGTAGCTTATTATAATGAAAAGGTCTAAAAAGGTATAAAAGGTAACTAATTTGATGCTGAGTGAGATAACAAATAGAGACATTTAAGCTTTTGTTTTATTTCAACATGGTAAAGTAACTGACAATGGACACCCATGCTTTCAGTTTCATGCAAGTTACTAATGATACTGACACGTTTTCATTGTATCTTACCTTTAAATTTATAAAGACAAAGGTAAGCGGCTAATGTTACTGACACTGTTAAATAAAGCTTAATGTTAACCTTGTAATGTCCGAAAGTTAGTAGCTAATGTCACTTGCACTTGTGTGTTTGTGTTTGTGTTTGTGTACACAGCAAAGAGCACAAATCTCATGCTTTGTTTAGGCAGATGTCCACCTTACTCTTTAGCACTGGAAACAGTATGACAGGACTGTTTGTGGTTAACATTGTGTTTTCTTACACTGACCGACACTAGATTGAGTTAAATACAGTTCCACTACACTTCATTGATTTAATCTGAGCACCTTGATCCTTCATACTCACCATGGACTCCAGGAGTTTAAAAAAGAGGGTGGCAGCCAAACCACTTCCTTGTTTTACTACCTTGCTGATGTCATCAGTGATGTCATGGGTTATACCATGACTGTGGGGGTGAACATAAATTTTAATATACTGTGAGAATACAGTATTAGTCTGATTTGGAGCAATTATATAGTTTGTTAACAAAGCTATAATTTACATCGTCTTTGTAATTTTGATGTTTATTGATGAAAATAACTTTTTTTAAATCAATTTACCTTCTTAAATTAGAAGTTTGGCTCTGCCCTGGCTAATTGTTTAGGAGAGAAAGGGACCATATAAGCAGTTCTTCTTTCTCAGCTGATAATCACAAGATATAGAACTCAAACAGATAAAATAGCAATTCCATTATTATTATCATTGTACTTTGTAATATGTTTTTGATTAATCTTTCTTATATTCTGATTACATAACCACAGGAACACTGATTCCATCCAATACAGGCCACCTTAGTCCCGTTTTCACACACACACACACACACACACACACACACCTGGTCTTTTGCTCCCTTGCTTGGCCAGATGTTAGCATTGAGATTTCGATGTAAAATCAAGTATGAGAAATGTTTTTAATTATCTAGCCACCTGGACTGGGTTGTACCACGTGCACATACCAACACACACACACACACACATTTTGCACACAATGTGATCATGCTTCAATGCACACTGATGTATAAGAAAATCCTATAACCCATGGTTAAAATTAAAAATATATATATTTTCCAAAATAAATGTCCTCACTCAAACTCATTTTGTAGTTGTCAGGACCTCAGGAGGATAGAATAACACACACATGCACATGCACACAAACACATACACGCACGCACACATTGTTTCAGGTAACAGATGTTGTCCTTCTTTTAATTAAAGACAATAAATTAAGACATTGTACTTACTCACTGCTGCAGAAACAGGCCCCAACACACATTCACTTCTGTCCTCTCTGCATTACTCTATAATTGGCTGTAGGGGAACACTGCAGCTTGTTTAGAAACTCAGTGAGATTTTAATTATTATTCAAGGACAGCAGCAGACACTTATACAGTCCTGGACTTTGATGTTGTTCTTCAGACTGTTTTCAGACTATTGTTGTTGTGCGTCAGCGGGTTTAAGGCTCTTATTGAGAGCTTTTGAAATCACAGGTTTCAATCCAGCCATCACACATGGGACTGATGGTTTGTGCTTCAGCCCAGTGAGCCACAAAGAGCATCATGGTGTTGACCCAGCTCTCTGCATGATTTGTTTTCCTTTGTCTCTCCCTCCCTCTCAGTCTTTTCACACGTGGTCTGGAGAAAAGGGATATATTTTATCTTCAACAAATACTTTTTTATGGCTAAACTTTTATTTGACGTTATTAATGCCAGAGATGTATGGAAAAGTGAATCACTGGAGATTGTGACTGTTCCTTAATTGTTTCAGATCAAAGCTGTCTTGAAATACTGCACTAAAATCTGACATACATCTAAAGATGTACAAAAAATGACATCCTAATAAGGTGCCCTCTATAAATTTGTAACTAATTGCTTAATTAATGGTCAGTTACAAGCCTTAAGAAGAAGAGCTGTAGCCACATGGTTATAATTTATAATAATAACCATTATATAAATGGTTGATGTAGTTATAAACATATTTTAGGACATTCTTAAGTGTCTTATTTTATTTTCATTTATATTTTATTGTCATTTAATATCTGTCACCAGCCTCCACGTGTGGGCTACAGTTGTTAACATTTAACACTTAAATCTGTGTACAACTACATTATAGTGTGTAATAAACCTTTTACTAAATGGCTATGGACTCCTTTTAAAAAATCCTTTTGCTTTATCCTTTCTGTTTGGTAATTACACTGTTATAAATGTCGCTAAAAAGTTGATAGGATTTTGAACCACTGCAGTCATTATCAACACGGTAAGTGATCATTGTCAGCTCATAGTTCAAAGTAGAATGAGGGCAACTTGGATTTTGTCCTTATTCATGCTTATAATGAATTTATAAACAAATAGTAAATATTTATTAACTTTTCTACATTTAATGGCTATGGTTGAATCTCTTTTGGGAATTTTTGAAGATTTTTGCAGCGTGGCTAAATGTAGACAGACAAATGGTCTGCAGCAAACTCCCCCAGAATGACTGCTTCATGAATCCAGCAAGGTGAGTGCACACATTTTATTAGGATAAGACTTTATTGTTGAGTGTTTAAAAATGTTTACAGCAGGAGAACAATTAAGTGCTATGAATGAAATCAACAGTCTGAAATCAGGACTTCTTCTTCTTAATTCTTAAAGAAATCCTTTAATTTCTGAAAAACACTTTTTTCTTGGCCGTTGCAGAGTTCGGACTGACAGCAGGAGAAGGTGAATTGAGGGATGGGGTATCTGACAGCCAGAGTCCTGAACTCACAGTCTGCGTAGCTAATGCATCTGGTGTAGATCGTTTCTGAGTGGAGAAAGCGTGAGAAGCACAGCATGCAGTTTTGTGGGCTTTATTATAACCGAAAACAAGGCCTGCACTGCACATTTCAGAGAAAAACTAATAACAGAGAAATTCAGAGACGTTTTCCCCCTAAAATAACCCCCAGTGTCTTGTTATTTGTCCAGAGGACGAAGGGTTAGAACACGAAAAACATCCATTCAATGCCGTCACATTTCCCGTCTCCATCCCTCCAGTCATATGAAACTTTTTTTTGCTGTTATTTCTTCTTAAAACTGTCATTTAATGGTGAATTTCAATATCATTGGATTAAGTACTTCTCGAGTTTTGTTTCCTTTACTCCACTTACCTCCACTGGTGATTTTGATGCAGCTGTCTTCACCCTGGTTACACTGCTGCTTGACTTCACAGCTGCTGGAGGTGCCATCAGGGCAGGAGTAACACTGCAGCGAGACGCCTGGAGAGTTCACATGATTACATGATTACATAAACATTCACTGTGAGTTTCCTCATTTATTCTCTATTCTCATATAAATAAATAAATAAATAAATAAATATAATCATCCGTTAAAGGAGTAGTTTGATTTTGGTGAATGTTAAATGAGAAAATTGATACCATCGTTATGTATTTCAATGTGAAGCTTTATGGCCAGCAGGAGGTTGTCTTAGCACAGAGAGTGGAAACAGGTGAAATCTGTTTATTTGGCTTTGTCCAAAGTCCACCTGCCAGCGCCTCTAAAGCTCCATTTAACACATTATACCTCGTTTTGTTTAATCCATACAAAAATCAAAGTGTATGAATGAAAAGTGGTGTTATACAGGGTTATGTGCTGTGTAGTTAATTCCTAACCTTAGTTAGTTTGTTAACCGTCTCCCCCTCTTTATGCTAAGCTAAGCTAACCAGCTTCTGGCTCTAGCTTCTTATTTGCTGAACAGACATGAGAGAGTTAATCTCTCTCTCTCTCTCTCTCTCTGCAAGTGTATTTCCCCAAATATCAAACTATTCCTTCAATGAAAAGGCTAAACTATAGCTCCTATATGTTTTGCTTTTTAATTAATTGGTATTTACATATTGAACTAAGTAATACAATCATTGTCTTTTATGATGTGACTTTATGTCCATGAAGCTTTTTACCTTTACCTTACCAATTTTGTCGTTTCCTCCTGTATCTTAATGTCAGACATTGAGGAGTTTGTGAGTACATGTATATTTTGGTTTTGGTTGATGAAATTGTGGGATTTAATATTGGGAAGTGTAACTTTAATCGAAACCTATTGCATACTATAGAAGGCATAGTGGAAATGTCTGAACATTTTACTTTCCTGTGCTGAACTTACTGTCGAACTGTTATAGTGTAAACGTCACTGAATGCCTGTCTCCACCTTAATACTAAAAGGATGGCAGACTGTTAAAACCTCAACAACGATGAAACAAAAAACATGCCTGATATGTTGTATTTCAATAAACCAAACCAAATATGACACAACTGTGCACAGCGCAAACTGCATGTTCCGAAACATCATAGCAAATATCATGAATGAATATTTATCACGACTGTGAACTGGAAGCACATGACACAACAGCAGCACATGCAAACTACGCACTGATCTGCCAAAACGTTCCCTCAGGCTGTTATGTGTCCTCTTTGCGAAACATGTAATCTCTCTGACTTAGCCCCACTTGGCTGCGCTTTTCAGGGTAAAAAAAAAAAAAAAAAAAAAAAAGAAAGAAAGAAAAAAAAAGAGTCAGCATTAATGAAAGAGTTTCTTCTTCAGCCTCCCTTTTTTCTTACCAAATCCAAACATGGCAAAGCTGACAGCCAGGCAAAACACCACAGAGCTCCTCATGGTGACTGGAAGCACTGTCAGTCTGAAAATCAAAACAAAAAGCAGTTTCCAATTTTGTCACAGCTGGATAAAAAGCTGGGAATTAACTTTGTGGAAGTAAAAAAAGGAATAACACATGCAGGGAGTCAAGAAGCAAAATACCACTTCGGCATCTTTCTTGCTGTTACAGTTTGATGAAGAGATTTTACACAAAGCAATGTCAGCCTGGTTTATAGGTGCGCATGTTATTTTTCACTTTCACTGATTGTCTGGAGTTAAGTATTAACGTTGTTTGGCTGAACAAAACTAAATGATTTGAAATAGCTTCCATTAACTAACAAAATAAGATCTATAATTGACTTAAGAGAATAAGACAGACAGAAAGTAGGACGTAACATATAACAATTCAGGAGAGAAGGTGAATATTTTTTGATTATTAATATTTACTGATTTATCTATGAAATAAACATTTTCACCACAAATTGGTAGTGGTCTAACACTCACCTGTGAATGTGAGGAAAGTGACTTTCAGCTTGTGAAGAGGAGGCTTTTTGTAACTGGGCCAGCAGACAAAATAAACAACCCATTTGTTTGGGTTCAGAGTCTATGTATGGATTTGATTCAGATGTTTACAAATTGGCCAATATGGTGCAATGTTTCCATAACACAGAGAAACAAGATACAGGTTTCTGTGAGGACATTAGGACATATTTATATATTCTAATGCTTATCTTTATTTCTTATTTAAAAAAAAAAAAGGTCTACATGTTCCTTGCATCAAGAAAGAACCTATGTAGATTGGAAGTGGACAGATGACACAGCAGTAAATAGAGAGTAAATGAGGACAGGCAGGGAAGTGACCGGTGACATATTACACAATTACGGTAATTCGGTTTGTGGAAAAAACACAATGATCTTATTACAATATTTAACCAGAGATTTCATAATGACAGAGAGAGGAAAGAGAGAGATTTAACGAAAAAGCAAGGAGGAGTGGAGTAAGAGAAAAATAAGGAAAGGAAAAGTCATGCAAGACAGGAAGTTGGTTCAACAGAGATTAAGAAAATAGAGACAAAAGAGGAGCAGATGAATAGCATGAAAGAAAGGCAGAGAAAGAGAATAAAGTTTAACAGTGTGAGGCCATTGTTTATAATGCAACTTAAGGTTTGTGTTCTGCATCAGTCCATAACACATCCACTCTGCCTGGACAGAGGAGTCATGTGCTGTGAGCTGGTAAGCTGTTATTGCTGAAGGACTCACCCTTAAAGTCAGATAAGTGCAATATCTCTGTCCATCACAGGAGGAGGAGGGTCAGCACATTTCTGCAGAGAGAGGCTGAAATGAATCAGTGTAATGCTGCTGAATTTATAACAGACACCTTCAGGAGGAAGAAAAAAAAACTGAAAACTTTCAAGTGAAGCTATAAAAATAAAAAAAATAACATGAACAAAGGATGTGTGTGTTTTATGTGCCTCGTGGTGCTGTGTAATGTTTCTTACAATATGAGCAGGCTCTGATGAGGACTTTTTCAATTCAAAGAGTAAGTGTGGTGATATGTTTGTCTTATTCTTCAATGAATCTCATGAAAATACCAAAACTAGACAAGCTTGGTTTCCAACCACCATTTTTTATTGTGCTTTCACTTCATAAAGGGATTTTTTTTTTTTTAAAGAAGAAGAAAAAAACAGAAGACAAAAAGAAAAAAACACCAGAAATAAAAAAGAAAAATCACAAAATATTGCAACAATAAGATAAAAGCAAAATGCAACCAAGAGATTCAATGAAGCTTGTGACTGAAGTTTTTCCCCGAAGAAACAAAAAAATGAAAAAGGATCTGAGTGGAGAGATGAGGAGATTGTAACGTTGCTCAAAGTAACACATGACAAAAACAGAAATTGTCCAAAAACTATTAAAACACGGTGAGTCACACGTTCGTTCACTACCAAGAACATGATCAACATGATAGTTTTATTTTGAATCAATCCCACACGCGTTGTCCTGCTGCTGTAAACACTATCACCAGAAATGTGTTTTCATTCGCAGCTGAAAATAGTCCCCGACAAAGGTTCAATTTACTTCTGTTCATGTAGCTAAAGTGCCAAGCAGTTCAAAAAACTACTTCTTAAAATAAAACCAAATATTATCATAAGATTTACATCTTCGGTGGAAACAAATGGACATGGTGCTGTATGAAACAGACAGAATAAGGACGTTGGAAAGTATTCAGAGACAGACCAATGAGTTGCTGCTTTTAGTCTATTCATGAGCTTTATTGACAATAAGACCCAGTGGTTTTCATCAGTGTTGATGAAGATTCAAGACCTGAGTCAGGACTCGTCAGGTCCTCAAGATTAGAAAACCAACAGACCTCAACCCCATCAAAGTCCGTCTGAGACAAATAGTTTCATGCTGTGTTTTCTATTAACAATGAAAACTGCCAGGAGAGCTGTTTTTTTTTTTTTATTGTGAAGTTTTTACTCTGTAAAATGACTCAACCTCCCACCGCTGTCAGCAGTGACACAAGTTTTATGTCAATAAACATTCAATCAGGACTGAAACTCTGCTGCGGGTGTTATGAGTTCCATAATCCTGAATTCATATTACCTCCTCTTTCTTCCTGTTCTCTCTCTCTCTCTCTCTCTCTCTCTCTCTCTCTCTCTCTCTATTGTAAGCTTCAGAGCCTGCTGGAGGCGTGGAATCAGAGTTCAGAGACACACACACTCATATGCATGAACCAGAAGCATGAAATCAAGTTCATGTTACAGTTTTTCCACTCTAAGTATTTTCTTTATGGACCTGCAGCTTTTTGAATCAGTTTTAGCCTCGGTGCTTAAAGGAAGAGAGATCATTTCAATGTATAATAGATAAGAATATATTATAACCTGTAAAAGTTTATAGTACTAAAACCTTTAAAAGTTGTGTCTTTACAGATCTATGAGTAATAAGAATCAATAAAAAAGAATGATTTTATTTGGGAATCCAGCTCGTGTTATGTTTAATTCAGAGGAGTCTGAAGTATAATTGTGTATCATTTTTCCCAGGGGGAAGCTCCACATTTTCTCACAGAGGTTTAAACGTCGCCATCTCAAAGCAACATGACTTTCCTTTGCCATTGCAGCTATTTAGGTTAATGACTGGCTGTCCTGCTGCTCATTACTTCTTGTCTGAGACCGGGCTAAAGGCTGGTGTAATGAGGCAAACCGGCTCTTTCATTTGTTTCTGGTGCCGACTCCAGCTTCAGTGTGGTTTTTCTTTGTACCTCTGCAGGGCTCACACCTCAGCAGGCAGGATTTTCTACTTTTCTAGTTTCATGTGAAAACTGTTGACACTGGCATTATGTGAATACTTTGTTTTTTTCCATAAAGGGCACAGCTGATTGTAAAGTAAAACCTGAAGCGAATCAATGGTTTCATGAAAAGGTCAGAACTCCTTAGCTACCTTGATGTCAAAATTTCAAAAAGACACTGTGATGCAAGAATAATATCTTTGTTTTTTTTTTCCAATCATGACAGAATTGAATGCTGAAAAAAAAAAAGTTGATCTCATTCATATACTGCAGCAGGTTTGCAGCCAGATCAGGACATGTGTAGATGACTCTTCGCTAAGCTAAGCCACGCTTCCCTTTAGTTACTGTTGCTACACCTGTCAGGCATATTAGCATTACCATAACGACCAGTTTCCCTATTGTAAGTAGCGTTCACATTCATCATGGCAGGTTCAGGACAACTGCACAGTTCAACTCTGACTCACACAAACAGCGGAGCAGCTCCTTCAGTCACGAACGATGACCTGTGTAACTGATCAGTTTCAACTGAACTGAAGTATTTTACAGATTGATGCGGTTATTGATTAGTAACACATTCACGGACAAGGGATAAAACAGAGGAAATTAACTTCAAACTGTCATAAATTTCCCCTCTCTCTCCTCGCTCTCGCTTCTGTTCTCAATCCATGTTCCCTTTATTTTTCTCTCCTTCTTTTCTTTTCCCCTCCCCCTTTCCTTTTTTCTCATCTTGTCCTTCATTCATTGAGTCACTGCCTTGTTTAATTTTTTTCTTCACTCTTTTTACATCTCTCCCCTCCCTCTCCTTCAATCTGCCACCATTTCTCTCTGTCTTTCTCTCATTTCCCAGTCCACTGAGTTAAATATGGGAAAACCAAACCAATCAGGCCATGACATGGTTATTATTTTTAACTGATTTTTTTAATTCCCTCTCTCTCTCTTTCTCTCTCTCTCTCTCTCACTCTCTCTCTGTCATTACCATTTGTTCTCTTTTTCCCTCCCTCTACATCTTTTTATTCTCTCTCTGTCTCAGTCAGTATTCTGTCCATCTGCAAGGTTTCAGCACCTTGAGATTTAAAACCATGAATTAATAAATCATTAACATTTGACCAAGTGTGTGTGTGTGTGTGTGTGTGTGTGTGTGTGTGTGTGTGTGTGTGTGTGTGTGTGTGTGTGTGTGTGCATGGGTGCGTTTTGGAGGATTCTTTAAAAAATAAAAAAAAAAAGAGCCTACCATGAATTAAGAAACCATCCACTGTGTATGTGCACACACAAGTGCTGTGAAGTATTTTTTTTCCACTCGGATGATCCATGAGAAACTCTAAATGAAAGAGGTTCCATAAGAAATCCTAAAAGCATGCAGATTTGCACAAACTACATGTATTATGCAAATCGTGCTCCAACCGGGTAAAATTACTCACCTCATCCAGCGAGGAAAACACACATGTTGGAACTCACCCCGTGGAGCAGATTCAAAGTGAGCGGTGAGTGTTTGAGATACCATGTGCAGAGACGGGGGGGTCTGCAGTTTTTGGATAAATGATGCAGCAGCAGCAAGGTAGAATAAAAAAAAAAAGTATAGATCAGGAATCAGGAATGATTGTACTTCCCGTTGTTTGAGTTGTGTGCAAACCCATGGCACTCTTATAATTTCATGGAAGACTGAATCATAAAACCTGCAATAACTGATTTTTTTTTCTTTTTTTTTTCTTGGCCACTTGAGGGCAGCGGAAAGAGGTTGTGCGCATAATATTAACAAATCGTCAACCTTTAAGTTGGGACGGCGAA